AGGCAGGTCCACCAAACAAAGAGGAGGCTCTTCTATAGAGGGAAGGGAGCATTGTTAGAGACAGAAAGCCCCCTGGAGTAAACTGGGAGTTAGAAGCATGGGGGTGTCTCACTGGCTGGGCTGTTGCAGGGGGAGGAAGAAACCTTCCTTCCACCAGGTGGGGTAGTCAAGTGGGGTCCAGGTGCAAGGTGCTCTCTTCCTGCTGGGTCTGCAGTGGGCAACAGGCACTGGCTGGGAGAGCTCCCCCTGCTGGCCGCCCCACTCCATTCTAACCAGCTTCCCTTTTATTGATGTTCACAGTGGCAAGTTTAAAACTCTTTAGCCCCACAGTCCTGGAAAGTCCTTCGAGTTGAAGGGAGTAAAATATAAGATTGAGGCCTCTTCGTGGAATCGGAGTACGGGTATCTGCTCCCCCAGGGCTTTCCGCAAAGGGGACCATGGAACCGGCACTTGAGATGCCCCGCTCTGGCGAGCAGTGGCTCAGTTCTGAGAAGGAGACTGAAAGCCCCGGACACCATGGATGCCTGGGCCCGGCTGTGATGGTGTGCACGATGTTGCTGTCACCAGGAAGCCACTGCCACCGAGGCAGGAGAGAATGCTCAGCTAGCTTGTAGGCTACCCCACCCCCTCGCCCAACATCCACGCAGCCACGCACTGCCACGGCCCGTCCACATGCATGACACTCAAACCCCGATGGGAAGCAGCTACTCTTCTTAACCCCCTTGTAGGTGAGAAGATAGAGGTGCAGAGAGGCAACATGGGCCCAGTTATCCAGCTGGAAGGGAAGGAGCTGGGATTCAAACCTACACTTCCCTTTTTAAAAAATTGGCTTGAGATACGATCTACATACGATAAAATGCATGGATTGAATGAGTTTTGACAAAGGTATATAGGCAGCAACCATGACCACAACCATGATGTACAGAACATTTTCATCACCCCAAAAGTGCCCTTATGCCCCTTTGCAGTCAGTCCCCTCCAGCGGCCTCCATCCCTGGCAACCACCTATCTGCTTTGTGAGTTTTCATATAAATAGAAACATGTAATATGTAATGTTTTGTATCTGGCTCCTTTTACTTAGCACGATGCTTTTGCTTTTGAGATTCACTCATGTCACTGCAAATACCAGTAACTGGTTCATTTTTGTTCTCCGTTCTAGCCGCGCCCCCCACCCCCCATATGGATGGACTATAGTTTGCTTATGCATTTCTGCATTGACGGGCATTTGGGACATTCCCAGGTTGTGACTGTTATGAATAAAGCTCTTAGGACCGTTTGGGGAGCAGACTTGGTGTGAACACAAGCTTTGCTTTCTTTTGTGTAAAATACCTAGGGATAGGATTACCTGGTTATATGACAGATGTTTAACTTTTTTTTTTTTTTAAGTAGGTTCCATGCCCAGTGTGGGGCTTGAACTCACAACTCTGAGATCAAGACCTGAGCTGAAATCAAGAGTCGGAAGCTTAACCGACTGAGCCACCCAGGTGCCCCTAGATGTTTAACTTTTTAAGAAGCTATCAAACTGTTTCCCACAGTGGCCTGGCCATTCTGCATCTCTACTGGCAATTGTCTGAGTGTCCCAGCCACTCTAAATCCTCACCAATACTTGGTGTTGCCAGTCTTTTTAACCGTATCCATTCTGGTGGGTACGCAGTGGGGTCTCATTGTGGTGTTAACGGCTAGCGCTGTTGAGCATCCCCTCATATGCTTGCTTGTCACTCGTACATCCTCTTTGGTGAAGTGCCTATTTAGATCTCAGGCACATTTTAAATCGGGCTGTTTGTCTTATTACTGAGTTGTACACATTCTTTACATACTCTGGATGCAAGTCCTTTAGCAGATAGGATCTACAAATTTTGTTTTTATCTTTTCATGCCTTTTCATCTTAACAGCGTCTTCTGAAGGATGAAGGTTTCAAATCTAGACGAAGCTCAAAGTCTCATTCTTTTGGTGTCATGTTGAAGAAGTCTCTGCCTGGCCCAAAGGTCTGCTGTCTTCTGGAGTTTTGTAGTGTTAGCTCTTGCATTTAGTTCTAGGATCTGTTCTGAGGTAATTTTGTGAATGGTGGGAGTTAAGGGTTTCAATCATTTGTTTCCATAGAGATAAGACTTGTCCAAACACCACTTACGCAAAGACAATCTTTTCCCCCACTATACTACTCTGGCACCTTGGCCCAAAATCCACAGACCACACACATATGGGTCAATTTATGGACTCTTTTGTGTTCCTTTGATTTACAGGTCTATTGTCCTGCCAATACAACAGCTTCGATTGCTTATAGCTTAATATATATTAAGTCCAGAAGCCAGATAGTAGAAGTCCTTTGACTTTTTCTATCTCAAAATTGAGTATTCTCATCCATCAAGACAGTATATTGTTCCATTTATTTGGGCTTTGATCTCATCCGTGTTTTGCAATTTCAGTCTACAGATCTTGCACATGTTTATATATAACTATTTATATCTATTTCACAGTTTCCAATTGTTCACTGTAGCTACACAGAATTAAATTAGTTCTGTATGGGCACTGTGCATCCTTTAGCTTTGCTAAACTCAACTGTTAGTTCTGGTAGCTATTTTCTAAAGATTTCTTAGGCTTTTCTATCTAGTCAGTCTTGTCATTGGCAAATAAAGACAGTTTCACGCTTTCTCTTCCAGTCTGAATGACTTTCTTTTCCTTGGCTAATTGCATGGTCTGGGACATCCCATCAGACGATTGTGAATAAAAGCGATGAGAGCAACGTCAGTTTCCTGGGTCTGATCACTGTGCTCACAGTTGTGATAACTGTAAGGTGTTGGCACCAGAGAAGGCTGCATGAAGGGAACAGAGCTATACTGAGTTTTACAACATCTGTGTGGTTTAAAACGATTTCACTATAAGAAGTTAAATGCTGGGGGGAAGTGGTGAAAGTGGCCATTCTTGCCTTGTTCGCAGACATATGAGGAAAACATTCAGTCTTTCAGCACAAAGTATGACATTAGCTGTAGGTTTTTTGCAGATGCCCTTTATCAGGTTAGAGATCTTCCTCTTTTGCCTAGTTTGCTTAAGAGTTTTGTTTGCTTGTTTTTAAATCATGAATGGGTAGTGAATTTTGTCAAATGCTTTTTCTGTATCTTTGGAGATGATCATGTGGCTTTTCCTTCTTAGTCTGTCAATGTGGTGGATTACAATGGTTTTAGAATATTAAACCAACCTTGCATTTCCGGAGTAAATCACACTTTCTCATGAATTATTTTCACTTTTATATACAGCTGGATTCAACCAGCTAAACTTTTGCCAAAGATTTTTGCATCTATGTCCGTGAGGGATACTGGTCTAGATTTTTCTTTTTTTGTAATATATTTGTCTGGTTTTGGTATCAGGATAGTGATGCCCTCATAAAATGAGTTGGGAAGTGTCCAAAATCATGGAAGATTTTGTGTGGGCTTGGTATAATTTCTTCTTTAAATCTTTGGTACAATTCACCAGTAAAACCATCTGTGCTCAGAATTTTCTTTGTGTGAAGGCATTTTATTTTTGTTTTATTTAGATCTTTTTAACAATTTTATTAAGGTACAATTTACTTTGAAACTTACCAATTCAAAGTGCACATGACAGGATTAACATTCGGGAAGAAATTAATGTCACTTTTTTTCACTTAGTTCCAATGTGGCTTTTGGGAGTTTTCTTTTTGCTAATCAGTTATGTGCTGAACAGATGAGAGTACCATGTGGGCCAAAGCCACCACCTGTGTGAGTCCAGAGGCTCATGGCCTCTCAGAGGGCCGAGGGCTGGTTTTCAGTTCCTTGCTCCTCCATTGGCAACTCCCTGTCTGGTCCCACCCCAGGCTGACACACTCTGGCATCTCCCTCACGGCTCTCCTGGAACTGTTCTCGCGAGGACTGCCAAGAACACCAGGTCCTCCTCGTTGCTCAGTCCACAGATACTTCCAGATCTTCTTACTTGACCTCCCCCCAGTATTTGATGGGTTAGGCTCCCAGCAGGAAACAGATGGCTCCAAATTGGGGTCACTAAGGAGGCTTTAAGAAAGGGGCTATGTACAAGGTGTGAGTGAGCAGGGGTAGGGACACCACAAGGGGTAGAGTGGTATCTGGAGCTCAGATCACTCTCAGGCCAGAGGAATGAGGGCAGGGAGCAGTCACTGGAGCGTAGGCTGAGAGTAGAGGGACTTGCCTTGTGAGATCGTGCCGGAGGCAACCCTGCGGGAGGGAATCGGGGACCCCCAGCTCATCCTCCTCCCTCCTGCCAGTCAGAATCTTCGCTGAGGGCACAGGTGAGGCTCACTCAGGTCAGTCTCTGGGGACCAGAGCAGGGAGGGGAGGAGAAGGGGCAGGGAGGGTCTGAAGAGACAAAAGGAACTGCGGGCACACTTGGCTTTAAGACATCACACTCTCGTGGTTCCTCCTATTCCAGTTTAGGCCTCTCTTCTTCATCAGCCCCTCCCTTTCCAGTGCTCCTGAGGCTTCGATGTAGAGCTTCCTAGGATCCTGCACGCCCTTGGGAATGGTCTCATCCCTGCAGCTTCACAGTCACACTAACAAAGCCCTAACGGGTCTAGACCTCTTTCTTGGGATCCTCCTCATCACCCAATCATCCGGAGTGCTCCACAGAGCGGGCGAGTGCACACTAACTAAGCATCAGGGGCTACTCACGACAGCATCTTCCCTTTACAGATGAGGAATGCAAAGGACAGAGAAGTTAGATAAGCTGTCCCAGGTCACACAGCACCAGTGTCAGGGCCAGGACTGGAGCCTGCGAGTGACTTCACAGTCATATTCTTAACCACCACGACCAAAAGCGCTTCCTCAGATTCAGGAAAAGTCGGGACTGGATGATTCATTTTCCAGAAAAGTCCTTCCCCGTCTGCAGTGGTGCCTGTCCCATGAACTCCCATGGCATGTCAGACCCCAGGCCCCAAACAGAAGGACAGAGCGCACCTTTCTGTGAGCCGCCCAGGCCCTTGGCCCCCAGCCAACACAGACCAGGCGACAAAGAGAACACACAGTCCCCTCTGGCACTTTATTGTTTACAAAACAATGGCTCCAGCTGGAAGGAACACAATCATTATGCTGACAGCAGCAGATAGAGAAACAAAAAAATGTCTAGCTTTAAAAGAGTCGAAAATCACTGATGGTGAGAATGCTCTTCGGGGCACCTAGGCCATGGCTGACAGGTCTCAACTGAGTGACTGTCCCAAGTCCTCCAACCTTCCTCACTTCGCCTGTGTCTTAAAAACTCACAGCCCCAACATCAGTGACATTTATCAAGGAAGTGGGTTGGGGTGCTCGGCCAGGCAAAGTCAGAAAAGACTCGGGCCTTCCAGGCTATGTCCAGCAAGAGCCGAGTTCCAGAGAAACGTGTCACATTCTTTTGCTAGATATTTTATACTGGAAGAAACACAGCAGCGCAAAAGGGATCCTCACTGGGTTCCTTCCTAGCAGCTGTATTAGAGTCTGTGAGAAAAGTCTGATGGCCCTTCCTGGGCCATCACGGCACCCCACATCCTCCTGAGGGGACAGGGAACTTCAGGAAAGGGGCGCTGTGGGCTGATGGTGGGGCCCTTCTTGGCTCCAGTCCTGGCTGACCTGTCCTAAACCCTCTGCCTTTGTCCTGGAGCATGGAGAAGAGGCCAAGGGACGCAGACAAGCAGGGTTTGTGCGAAGTTTCCAGAGAAAAGACTTCAAAGCTCCCCAGAGAAGGGGGAATAAAGGGTCAGGGGACAGAAGCCATCGGGCCAGGAGGGCGTCATTGCTAACCCCCGGAGGACAGAGCTCAGCGCCCAGGACCCAGGGCGGGCGTGGCAGAACGTAGGGTGCCACTTGGGTCAGGAAGTAAGATAATCATTTGTGGAAGTCTTTAAAGGCATGACAACTTCTGAGAGTTGCTCATAAAAAGCAATGTTTTACCTTTGTGTCCTTTGACCAAGGGCTTGGAAACGCTTAAAAACTTGTCTTACCAACTGTCAGAACCTAATTCCAATCTCCTCCACCGCTGGAAATGAAGTTGTTAACTATGGGACTTTGCTCTGTGTGATCAGATTTGGTGATTCCGAGAAAGGAAATTGGTTCAATTAAGTTAATAATTACAACTTCAAAGTGCTGCATGGCCACAGAATTTTCCTGAAGGGAAAAACTGGAGTGGATCACATGAAGTGGAGACTGTCTGATGTGAGGCTGAGGACAAACGAGCAAGCTTGTGTCCTTTCCTGCAGAATTTGGGCAGATGCGTCCCTGGAGGCCTGCCCTCACCCACACAGCCCTATAATTCTCTGCAGTGTAGACAGATTCTTTTCCAGGAACTTGGAGAAGTGGATTTAATGCACGAAGTTCACGAAGAAGGAAGAAAAGGAGGTGGCCTGGGAGTTCCTGACGGGCAGGTCCACTTCGGACTCGCTATTTCGTTCCCAGAGGGAGCACAGTGCTTGACACATAGTAGGAGCTCAAGAAACATTTATTGAATGGAAGAACAAACAGAAAGAGGAGAAAGGAAGGTCGGATGGAAGAAGGGCGAGGCCGGGTTACAAAGGAGGGGTCCCAGCTTAGGATTCCTGCAGGGACCAGCTCCCACCACCAGATGGCAGCGCACACACGGGTCAGTGCACTGCGGGGACCAGGCCCCTTTCCCAGCTCCGAGGACTCTGGGCTTCGTCGCTCCAGGCACCCTGGGGCTGAACTCCCTGAATCAGGCACACACCTCGGAGTTTCAAAAAGGAAAAAAAAGCAAAACAAAACACCAAAGAAAAGTGCAGTCCTCTGGTTTTTATAAAATTCGAGTCCTGATGGAGCTGAAAACTGTCCACCTCTGGGCCTTGCCGGTTTGAGTTTTGTAAATTTAAATGAACTCTATTCCTTCATATTTCACGTTGCCGATCTTGGTCTCTGGCAGTAGGAAGCGCCCGTCCAGTGTGAAGGCCATGATGTAGGTGGCGATCTTGCCCCTGTCCTCCTCAGACTTGAGGGCCACAATGATCTGGTCGTCAGTGTTGGGGATGAACTTGAAGGAGGAGAAGCCGTGCGTGGGGACCACCTCCCCCACACGGCTGACGGAGATGTCGCCAAAGTCCTGGGCAGCACTCAGGAGCAGGTTGGTGCCCTTGTACTCGTCATCCTTCTCGCTGTACCGCTCGTGGCTGGCCCGGCGCGGCAGGAAGAACCATCGCTGCAGCGTGTCACTCCAGCAGGCAGACTCGTGAATGAGGTAGCCTGGGGACACACGACAGACCCACAGGTCACCAGCCCACCCGGTGGGCCTGGCCCCGCCCCGCCGCCGACTGGGTGTGGGCAGGACCGTCCGCCACGCAGGAGCGCGCCTGCAGCTCCTCCGTCCCCGCACAGGCTTCCCGCTGCCGACGCTGTGAGGTGGCCTGTCCCGTCCACTGGGGCAGCGTCCCTGTTCGATCCTCTTCAGACCTCCCTCTGTCCTACAGGCCTCTCCACCTGTCCTCGTTCTCGATTACCCAGAGTAACAAAGACCACACAGGCCGTTCTGTCCCTGGCGCCCCATCTCTGGTCACCTGTGGCCATGAGTTCTGTCTGCATTTCCGCCTCCCTGGTGCTAAGGAACACAGAGGGCGGGGCCGGGGGAAGGGAGCGAGATAAACAAGCGGGTTTGACTGGTGAGGCAGAGATCGGGGTTGGGGGAGAGGCTGCCTTCAAGTTGAAAAGGAAGTAGCATACCCTCTATCTGGGGGTGAAGCAATGTCCTCAGCTTCATGCTCCCCAAGCCTAGAGCTGCCTGGCCGCTCCGAGCATCCCACGACTCCCCACCACAAACCACGACAACTCTTGGAAGGCGAGGCGAAGAGCCCAAGCCCTGTCCACCTTGCTTCTACTGGGTCAGGGGCGAGGCCCAGGCCCCGCCCTCAGGGAACAGCCAGAGAGCTCAGGCAGGAGGGGGCTGCAGTCTGAGACAGCGGGAGGCAATCTGTCGGGGCGAGTGAAGGAAGAGCAAATGGCTCATTTGTCCCCAGAAGCCACTGGCCTACTGGGAGCAGTCATCACAGACAGAAATCATCAAAACTGAGCCCGAAACGACACTGCTGTGGTTTGAAGCAAACGCTCGGAGGAAGCGCGCGCGCAGCACACCAGCATCTGTCAGATGCCCCCCAGGCGGGGCCAGTCCCTTACCTGGAGGCTGGATCCCTGCAGCGGCCCGCAGAGCGCTGTAGCTGGACACCCAGTTCTCGTGGTTCACGCTGCCTCTGCTGCCCACCACCTTTACCCACTCAGGGTTTTCGTTCATCACTTCCCCCGTGCTGGTGGTCCACTCCTTGCCCAGGCCGCCCACATACAGATGCTCGTCCTTCACAGCCAGCCACTCTGCTTTGAAGCCTGGGGACAGGGAGACAAGGGGGCATGCCTGAGATGACAGCCACCCCTCGGCTCCCCAGGTTCCTGTGGGGTCCAGCAGCCTTAGGCATCAGAGGTCACCCATGATGGACCTCCCGCGAGGCAATGATGAGAGGGTGGGGGGCAGGACAGCCTGGCTCAGGGCTCCATTCCCAGAGGGTCAGCAGCCGGGCACCTCCCTCCGCCTTCTATTCTCCCCCCTCCCCACCCTCTAGGACCGGTCACATTCTCTTTGGCCACTCGATCTAGGAACCCTCTGCTGGAACAGCCTTTCCCAAACTGATTCAAAAGGCTCCTGCTGCTGGCACCTCACCTACCCCTCCACTCCCAAAGGCCCAGCCAGCCACTTGTCAATCTCCTCTGATCCCCAAGCTCTGTTTCTCAAGCTGTATGCCCCAACCTCAGGATCACCTCCAACCCAGGGCAAGAGGAAGCGCTTGGGGTTATTATTACGGCAGAGAGCGTTTCCTCACAACCGTGCCTGGTGCCCACTAAGAGCAGGGGAAGTGCCAGTAGCCGGAGCTAAGAGGGGCTGGTGGGGGCTCACAGAGTTCGCTCCGATCAGTGCATTTATCCTCTTAGACAGGTTTATTTGCTGTGAGCCCAATTTGAAGGCTGCAGTGCACTCAGGCTGTGTGGGATGCTATCCCCCTGCACCCTGTGTTCTAAATTGTGCTTGCTTTCCCAGATGTTTTGCAAGCTTCTTGCTGGTCCTGAAGACCCAGAGCTGCAGCCCGCCCCGAGAAATGGCAGCAGCCTGCAGAATGCTTCTCTGCAGGTGGCTCTGGAGGGACCTGCTGAGTTCGTGTGGTCCCAGGGGCCTCGCCAGCTCCCCCGGGTCACTTTGGAGAAAAGACCCTCTCCATTATCTGGCCTTCCATCCTTTCTGATGAACTGACCACAGGACAACCCAAGCCTCTGCTTTCTTCCTGATCCAATGGTGAAGAACAGAACTACAATGGCTGCCCATAAATGCTGACAGACTAAGGCAGGAAGTGGGCAACCAGTATCTTCTCTGAAACTTGGTCCAGAGAGTGCCCTGCCCATTGCCCCAGGCGTGGGCAAGCACTGAAGGGGTTTTCTCGCCGTGGGGAGGGCTGGCAGACAGCGTGTGCCTCATGGGCCCAGCTAGTTGCTTTTCTGACCTGAGAGAGGCCTGCAGCATTTAGCTTCCTGGAGGGTGCAGACACCCCACCCCCCGAGGGAGCGGGGGCAAGCACAGAGGCTTTTGTCAGCTCCCCCCGCCCGCGCCCAGCGCCTCCCTGCCCCTTCCCCATCCGGGGAGCCACTCTGGCTCTCTCTTAGAGCTCTGTGCTCCCCGCTGCCTGAAAGCGGTAATTCCTTTCCAGCACACGGCAGAGCAGTGGGTCACAGAGGATTTCCAAGCTCGGATCCCACTCGGGCGCAGTCACTGCCACTCATGCACAGACCCTCCTGCTGCTGTGTTTTCAGAAAGGGGTGCTAGACTGCCTATGTTTACCAATAAAGTCTCAGTTCAAAATGGGAGCAATCTGACACTATGGCTTTAAAGGTAAGACGCTTGGGGGCTGTCATTCCCGCGTGCTCTGAAGATACCTTTGAAGATATAAGAAGGGACTCGTTCCCAGGAGCACCGAGAGCGGCAGAGGACAGGGCCCACAAACTTCTCCTGGAAGGGACCCGCTTCCCGGCCAGTCTTCTAGGAACAAGCTCCTACTGTAGAGACGACTGGTGTGAGGCTGGCCCTGGGGTGGGGCGGCCGTGGGTCAGAAGCAGGAGGGAGATGGCTCTACCCAGTGGTCCCTCCTCCTGGTCGTGTGAATGCTTTACCACACATGTGTGCAAACCAAACTGGCAGACAGTCAACCCAAACCTGTCCCCCAACACCCCAGCCAAAGCCGGGAGAAAGAGAGGGCCCGACTTACCTTTCCCCACGGTTCCATCGCCATCGGACAGAATCACCCACGGCACGGCTTTGGTGCCCTCGATCTGGTAGATGACCCCTGTCCGGTCGTCCACAGAGTAGAGTCTCCCGTTGAAGACAATCAGCTCAGACAGCTCCATGCCCCGCCCCTTTTCAGCTAGGTGGGACTCGAGGACCCCGTGGCCTTTGTCCCACTCCACAGCCACCTTGTCCCCGCTGTCTGACAGGGTCAAGTAGCCCTTCTTCAGGTAACTGAACCAGGTATTTTCCTCTTGGGCTCTAGACTCTGTGTCCAAGTCAGCAATAACTGCGATTCGGAACCGAGTCCCACCCGGCGTCCTCTGGGGGGCAGACAGGGGGTAGGTGTCATTATACCGGTCAGCAGGTGCCTGGCTGAGCCTCCAGTTGTGGGCGTTGGGTGCGGGGGGCCTGCCTGGGGGCGGGCGGTGGGAGTACAGCAGCCAGAGGACAGCAGCGCCCACAAAGGATGGCAGGATCACTTTCCAGCGGGGGCGGAAGCGGGGATCTGCTGCCTTGGTCATGGACGCCAGCACCGGAAGGCCCCCTACACTTATCCGGAGGGAGTGCATAGGCTCATTCCATTCCAGGTGGTTGGAGGGCTGGATGGGCATCAGACTGAAGGGCAGGCGGGACCTGGGCACCCAGACAGAGAGGACAGGGGTCAGTGACCTGCAAAGCACAGTGGCTTTCTAATTACCTGAAGGTGCACGGCCTGAAGGCTGCCTTTCCCAGAACTGCACGGCCACTACTTGGTGGCTATTATTACTTCTTTGGCTTAATTAAACCCTGATTCTAGCAATATCTTTATTTACTCTTATTCAGTAGAGGGAGAAGTCTCTCCAAAGCACAATTATTCCATCTCCTCTGCTGTCTCAAATGACAAGATAGAAAGCTCAGTGAGGGCAAGTTCTGCGTAGGCTGGTGCTTTACCAGCTCAGAAAGAGGGAGCAGCAGCAGGTGAGGGAGGCAGTGGGGGTGCTGAGGGGTCTGGACAGGACAGGGCAGCAGAGAGGGCCCAGATGTGTGTGCTCATCAAATGTCACCTCATTCGAGAAGCTCTCCCTGAGGGCTCTGCTCCCAACAGCACCCCCGTATCGCCTTCCTCAGCATCTGCCACCCCGGCAACATCACGCTGCGTAGCTATCAGCGCGCTCCGCTGCGTCCTGCGCTCCTAGGACAGCGCACAGAGCGGATGCATGCTCACCCAGTGAGGCTTGACTTCCTCCTGGGCTAGGTTTCTGTAATATTAATATAAGTATAAAACAGATTAAGCTAAGGGGCGCCTGGGTGGCTCAGATGGTTAAGCGTCTGCCTTCGGCTCAGGTCATGATCCCAGGGTCCTGGGATCAAGCCCCACAACGGGCTCCTGGCTCAGCGGGGAGCCTGCTTCTCCCTCTCCCTCTGCCTCTCTCTCTGCTCATGTTCTCTCTCTCT